CCATCAATGCTGAGCAGCAGCAGGCTGGGTCTCAGGGGAGATTTTTCATTGCATTGAAATCTGACTTTGTTAATTACCAGTCTCTGATTTCATTTGAGGGTTAAGTTTATGAAACGAGATCCTTATTTCTCTGACTTCCTTATTCAGCTGGTTATTGAGTCCTGTACAGGGGATGGTTGGGACCTTAGAAACTCCCAAGCTGTCTTACACTTCTGGCATGAGCTGTGCAGGAGAAGCATTGGAGCAAGAGGAGGTGATGAAGATGTGCACAAGTCCTGGTGAAAGACAGGGAAAGAAAACACATCTCAGGAAAACTGAAAATGGGAACAAAGGCCTTGTTGCCAAACTATAGCTTATTCTACCCCCAAAGGAAACTCCTCCTCCCACATGGGATGCTGATGGCAGCACCCAGAGCCCCAGGGAACATTGTGATTGGGGCCTTTAGCAGAGCAACACCAGCCTTTAGTGCACCCCAGGGTGTTCACTTCCTCATGGGGAAGGCTTCCCATCCTCTGTTTACCCAGGAAGCACAGACTTGGCTGTAGGCAGTAAGCAGAGGGCCTGGTTTTTATCTACACATCAAATTTACTTTTTTTTTTTAAGAGAAAATAGCCACTTGAAGCTTGGGGCTAGTGTCTAATTCCACTTGAAGAGCTTTGTTTGATAATTGCAGTATTTTTCTGAGAGAAAATAGAACAATCGAGGCTTGTAATTAAAAGCCATTCAGGCAGCTTTGATCCTTCTCTCTGCATCTTCACTTACCAAACACAAATGCCAACAAGGACTCATGGCAATATTTACAGTCTCTATTCTTGGCCTTTGCTTTTAAATTAACTCCTCTTCCTCGCTTCCAGCCAAAAGGAGGAGGAGGGAGGGAAATGTGGCTTGTGGCTTTTTGATATGTGTTTGTTTGGAAAGATTTTTTTTTGAGGATGCCTGACATCATAGAATCATTAAATTTAGAGAAACTCAATGAGTCCAACTATCAACTCAACCACACCACCACGTTCACCACTAAACCATGAAATGCCACTTCTACGAGTTTTTTGAACACTTCCAGGGATGATGGCTCTACCACTGCCCTGGGAAGCCTTTTCCATGGCTTGACCACCCTTTTGGTGAAAAAATATTTCCTAATATCTAATCAAACCTCCACTGGCACAACTTGAGGCTGTTCCCTCTCATCCTGTCACTCCACGATGACAAGACTGGAACTCCCCTGGAGGCCTCAGAGCTGCCAGAGAACAGAGTTGATCACCCCAAAACTGCCTCCAGGCACAACCTCAGCTGCAGCAAGAGGACAAGACCCACCCACTCTACCTGGGCAAGGACAGGGAGCTGCCAGGGCCATGTCCCACAGCCCACAGAGGACCCTCAGGTGACCTCCTGACTCACTGTGAGAGGGAATCCAGCCTGGGAAGTCCTCTGCCCTTCAGCAGCAGGTGGGAATGTCAAACCTCAATGTGCTGAGACCCTCTGAAGGCACAAAACCAGGCTTGTTTCTCCCAGAATTGGCAGTAAAGCGGGAGGGTCACCATTTCCTTGGGTTTATGGTGGGAGCATCAGTGGCTCATCAGCACCCAGGGGCTCCCAGCAACCCTGAGGAAACAAGGTGAGTGCTACAGATGTCAGGCTGTACAGAGAAGGGACAAATTGTCTTTCTCGGTTTGATTTGAACAGTATCTTCTGGAGACTCTTCTGCTTCTCATCTTCTATAATCCAAATTTTTACTTATCTATGTTTAACTTTTATTTT